TCTGCCAACACAGGATCGGTGAAAACAGAGCCTAAACCGTCCCGCGTAGTCTATCTATATAATATGCTAAGTACGCTAGAACCTTTGAGCAGCGGTAATGAAATACGCTTCAGTTAGCATTCTTTATATTATCCAAGTAAGTTAAAAAAAGTATATTTTTAAATAAATATTTTGATTGCAATAAATGACTCATACAAAGCGCTGTATGACAATGAAATACGACTGCTAAAATGAATTACTTATTACTGCTTTAATACTGCTGCTGATTTGGTGCAATCGACTTCGTATTCGTTAAATTCGCAACCTCGTTAAACAAATTGAACATTTCAGTCAGCACATGTTATAGTTTTAATAATGATGCAGTTCATACATTATTTACATTAAAACGTCTTTGAAATTTCCTGTTGTTTTTAAATCTTTAATAAGTAATTAATATAAAATAATGATTTTAAGTTTAAGGTGTTCACTATTGAGAGTGACGGAGAGTTTATTGCCAGTTCTTCTCGGCCGTTCTACGCCCTTAAAATGAGGAATAAAAAAAAACATTTGGAACTAACTTTTTTACCGACGTTCATAAGTATACAATAAATTTCCTACACGAATAAATAATATTATGACTTATTCAATAATTTTTTCGAATTTATATGAAAAATTTATGTTAACAAAGTTTTCATAAATGAATAACGCAATAAATTAATCTATGTGTGAAACGAATTCAACACAAGGGACCAAAGCGGTTAATCACAGAGGATTCCATATAGGGGAACGCTGCTAATAGTGAAATTGAAACCACTTTCTATGCAGGTACAAGCATTACGTAGCGCAATTAATATGGTATAAAAATCCGTCACTCTCGTACGAGTATGTATGGAATGAGGGGAAATTTGTTATACACATTGTGAAAACTTTGAAGGTACGGTGTATGAATAACGTGAAATCGTACGAATTTTACTTTGAATAGTAAGGAAATTGACATCTACCTTGAGTTCAACAAGGTATTGAAGATGTGTAAAATATATTACTCTTGCACTCGTAAGTTTTTATTTTGAATCTAACCTTATAAAGGAAATATTTGTATATGTATTTGTTAATAACTGACGGTAATGGCGGGAAGGATGGATTGGCCTCATATCTGTCATTGCAATGGCCTGCATGTACCCTTTTTAATATTATGTTAGAATACACTTTAAAGCTAACCTAAACCTAATATAATATTTACGACAATATTGTAACATAATAATAACCATATGGATTGTCTGCTTAAAAAATAAATTGTTATTATTAAAAATTACTGGACGGTTCCTAAAAAGATTTACCATTAGAATGCGTCGTTTCTGAGTTACAAAGGCTTCACTTATTTACAAAATATTCTTTAAAAATTCAGCCTGTCTGTCAACTTCTAATTAGATTAAAGCTAATTAAATTTATTGTATCCATATGAATTGTGACAGTAACGATTTGTTTATCGTTTAATGTTATACATAAACCTGTTTTAGTATTGTACTCAGAAATTACAAGTCCGTTTGTTTGTCAATCGCCGCCCAACCGCATAGGTTAGTTTGTCACGAAAACGAAATGACAGTGCCTTGTCTGCTAAAACTACTATTTATTACGGGCCATATATTGGCTACAAAATTTTAGAAGCAAACAAAATTATTATCATAGCATATATATCCATTAAAGAAGCATTAGCATAATCCCTAATAGAGATTTCATCCAACATTAACGGATTATAAGCGTCCAAGTACTAATCAATGTATTTTATACTCTTTGCACGCTTTTGATTATAGCGTAACTATAATCCATTAATACTATATAAAAAGCTATTTAAAAAGTAAAATTCAAGTCTTTCAGTCGAACAAAGTGCATCTGAAGAAAAATCATCCAATTTATGTTCATATATACCCAAGGATGGTCTGCAACGAGAGAGCATAATAAGATTAGTGAAGATTAGTCCGTTTGCAATTAGTACTTCTCGGTATTGTTACGCCGTAAGCCACTCACAGCGCTCTGGAGCGAGAACTTGCAGGCAAGCATAGAAACTATTGAACCGATTTCTGTGTATCGACAAATTATACGACAAACAAGATATTTTAATTGGCTCCACTGTCGTAAGTATTAAGATCTTTGCCATTTGTGCACAGAAGGTATAAATTCATTTGCGCTAATTAATAACGGATTAAGCGCCTGGTACCGGTGCCCCAAAGCTGGTGCTTTTCATGCACAGCAACGCAATTTTGCACGCTGTTTTGCGAAATGCTGACAACTTTATAAGCTATAGGGACACAGCTTAATTTTTTTATAGTTTTAGTTTATAATATGCACTGGTTATATTATACAACATAATATTCTATTATCTAAATATTTCGTTTTCATCAAAGTCAAAGTCAAAGTCAAATCGTTTATTTCAATTAGACCATCTAAAATGGCACTTTTGAACGTCAAAAAAAAAAAATATAAAGATGATTCTAGTTGCCCCTTCCAAAAGGTAGTTTCGTGTGGAGAAGAATGGGCAAGAAACTCCACACTTACTCTTTTAAAATAGGTTTACAATATTTTGTTACATTTGTTAAATAATTATATGTGAAGACAATGTACTCTTAGAATAAACTACTATACTAAAAAAGTTAGTATACATGTTCCTCACATATTTACAAATATCGAAACCTTAGAATATTAACATTAAAGAGTAATAAAAATATTAAAAAAACACAACAAAACAGTGTGTGAGATACAAAAAAAAATAATTACATTTGTAGCATTATATAAATTAAAAAAAAAAAATAATAATAATAATAACAAAAATTAACATATTTTTTTTTAGCAAAAAATCAGCAACCAATTTGATTTTGTCCAGGCTATAGAGCCAATCATAGGATTGTCCTATGGAGCAGGACCAGCATGTTTCCAAGCATTCTTATCTTGAATATAATCATCTAATTTGTAATATGCTTGTTTACAAAGTGTACTTTTAATAAAACATTTAAATTTTCGTTCATTTAGTTTTAAAATGTCACAAGGTATTTTATTGTAACATTTCACACAGTACCCCATAAATGAATTTTGAACTTTGGCTAATCTGAAAGATGGTTGAGCTATTTTATCTTTATTTCTAGTACTAAAATTATGTCTTTCATTTATTTTACTAAAAAAGATGTAGATTCTTTCTTACATACATAATATTTTCATAAATGAATTGGCAAGGTACTGTCATAATATTAATCTTTTTAAATAGTTCCCTGAGAGATTCGCAACGACGTAGATTATAAATGGCTCTGACCGCTCTCTTTTGCAAAATAAAAATGGATTCTATGTCAGCAGCCCGACCCCACAGTAAAATGCCGTAAGACATTATGCTGTGAAAGTAGCTAAAATAGACCAAACGCGCAGTTTCTACATTGGTTAAATATCTTATCTTTCTAACCGCATAAACGGCTGAGCTCAGCCGCCCCGCAAGAGATGTGATATGAGGTCCCCATTGTAACTTCTCGTCTAGCGTGATGCCTAGGAAAACCGTTTGATTAATAAATTCCAGTTTTCCTTCATTCAACATTATGTCACATTCCTTACTTTTAACATTTGGCAACGTAAATCTAATACATTTAGTTTTTTTATCATTCAGTGCCAAATTGTTTACCGTAAACCAATTTTGGACCCGAAGAATAGAGTTATTCACGTCGTCACGATTTTGTGACCGTCGATCTACTTTAAAAATCAATGATGTGTCATCTGCAAATAACACCATCTTCGGTTTATTCTGAACTAATTGGGGTAAATCATTTATGTATACTAAAAAGAGGAATGGACCCAATATTGAACCCTGAGGAACGCCCATTGTAATTTCAGACCCTAACGAGTTTATGCCGTTAACCTGAACTTTAACCTGTCTGTTTTTCAAGTAAGATCTTAGTAAGTCCAGAGCTTTGTTCTTAATCCCGTAGTGATTAAGTTTCAGCAGAAGAGTCTCATGGTTTACGCAATCGAACGCCTTCGAAAGGTCGCAAAAGATTCCAATGGCATCTTGTGCTTCCTCCCAAGCGTTAAAAATGTTCTTGATTAGGGAGACACCGGCGTCAGTTGTACAACGCCCTTTGGTGAAACCGTACTGTTGTTCATGAAAGATGGAGTTTTTATTAAAGTGACATAACATTTGATTGAGCATTAACTTTTCAAAAACCTTACTGAGAGCTGGCAGAATTGACACAGGTCTATAATTATTGGGTTCTTTACTATCACCGGATTTGAACAACGGAACTACTTTACTGTGTTTCATGAGATCCGGAAAGACTCCTTGGTCTATGCTGGTGTTAAATATGAAAGCTAAATAAGGCGCAATAGTTTCGATGATAGAACTACAGACTTTTACAGACAATCCCCAAAGATCTTCTGTAGATTTAATTTTAAGATCTTTAAAAGCTTTCATAACAGCCTGGGGGTTTGTATATTGAAATCGAAACTCCGTAGGGCATGCCCTTACATTCTTCGTAAGTAACGCAAAAGAAAGTGCGGATGATGAACTTAAAGCTTCGGTAGTTTTAAAGGGAATATTGATAAAAAAAGTTTTCAAATTCCTGAGCTATTTCTGCATTTGAGTTTATTGGGCCATGTGCAGTCTCTAAGTTAAATTCAGTATTACGCTGTTTTTTTCTACCAGTTTCATTATTTATTATTTGCCAGGTAGTTTTTATTTTGTCATCCGCTGATTTTATTTTATTACTAATATACAGTGATTTAGCAATTTTGCACACACTTTTAAAAGTTTTTGAATATTTCGCAACATGCTGATGAAAGTTTGTATTTTTTACATGTTGCCTTAGTCTTGAGAATTATTAAATTTGTCACTTTTGTAAGACTGTTGAGAGCTATGCGGTACGGTTTTTGAATACTCACCTATAAATATCAATTAGCTTAAAAAAAACAGTACAAACAATATGTAAAAGAATTTAGAAAAATCTAAAGTATGGTATTTTATATGCAAATTTAATTAATATTTCCCACATTCAGAAAGTACTAAAATTGTATATAAACGATACTAAACACGTCAACGACAGAAGCCCCAGGTAGAAGTCATTTATAAGGGAACATGTTTGAACAGTTTTCTTAATCATATAGCGATAACCGTAGCAAGTGAAGGGGAAGAGTTCCGCGAAATCGACCACAGGCGTTGAAACCCTTTGAAGTGCTGGAAATGTATTAATATGGGTTCTCAATTTGGTCCTGCCATCTAATATGTGAACCTTAACTTGAAAAATGCAAAGTATTTCCGCTAAAAAGTTAACTCTCTATAAATACGTAAATTTGTTAGTCTAGTTCGAGTTAGAAGACTAGTGGTCTTTTTAACTCGAACTCGCACTCAAACTCAAAATAACTTTATATAGGTGACCAAGTACACTTATGGACGTCAACAGAAAAGATGTTAAATTGATTCTAGATTTACATTGACTACCAGTTCGCAAGTCAAGGGCGTAACTTTCCGCCACTCATACAGAGCAGAGGCAGAGCAACCACCAATATTTGAACTGGAGCAAATCAATCCCAACGATTAGGCTCATTTAAATAATTAAGTTAATTTACGTTTAACGTTGAACGAGAGTTTTGAATTGTATACAACAGTAACTGCATTATAAAATTCTATATTGAATCTAATTTGAGATTGATGTATTGATCGGGGCTGATAGGTCAAAAGCTACTTACTGTAGGTATATCTATCGCAGCCTATCTTCACTAACCATAACTGTATAAGTTTACTGTATTTGCTTGATTTTCTTCTATCAGCAAAGGAGTATTGAAGAGAGAAGACGACAGGCACGACTGATACTTGCCACACAATAAACAATCAGAGAATCCACACGGACCTGTGTCCCTAGGGAGGTTAAGTCGTTTTTTAACATACAGCCAACAAGCGTCACGTAGGCATAAAAACGGCTAAACATATTTCGTCTATGTTTTTTTATTACAAACTAATTTTACTGTCAATATTCCGCACGTTAAGTTTAATTACGAAGTCAAATATTAAATGTCTTTATATAATTTACTTCAGATAATTTTTAACGTAAGGTGAGTTGGATTTGTTTGGCTTTTAAGTGTTCTACAGAATGTACGGTGAAAAGTTTAGGACAAAACTGTCGGCTTTGAATTGAAACACTATATTTTCATTCATACTCGTATCGTTTTAAAACCATACAAAGTATGTTTAAATAACCAAATTAATTAAGCGTAGTTTGGACAATCTCGAAAAAATACTATGACGTGTGTTTCCATACAAACAATGGAACTGATATCATAACTGTATGTGACGCCGTTGTATGTAGTTAATGTGTTATAGTCACAAACGTTCTTAAATTGACGCTATTCCCCTTAATTATAAAAAAAAATAATCAGGCTATTTGGACTGTTTTAAATCAAGCACTCATCTGTCACTTTTAATCACATCGTTAACACAATTTGACAGAAAAAGACATAAGATGACTTAAATTGAAAGTGTGCAATTATACTGATTTGTTTCATGAGCTACATTTCACCTTTATTGATGTGTTCATATATGTTGTTTGTAGCCACTACAAAACCGCGCCGACCACTGTCTATCAAAGATATATAGTCTTTTTATAACTTATAAATTAATAAACATAGTCTTATAACTTGCATCTAATATACTAATTATTTTATGTCAAACGAGAGAACTTCAGACTTCAGGAGAGTTTCTAAAATTATATTACGATATTACACGAAACTATTTCTAAAGAGAATTTGCAAATTCAGACATTAATAGAAATAAACTTATATGTTTGAAATTAACTGCAGTGTTGGCTCATTAGTACAAAATTTTAATTTATTTGATTTCGCCCACGTAGATTACGTGTATTTTTGGAAGGTTTTTTGCGACATAAAAAGTAACCGTGATATTTTAGGCAATTTACATATACCTAATCATAATTAATTATACACTAAAACTTTCCTCAGAGAGTAAAACACTCAAATCGGTAGTCTTTGCATATATTGCGAACATACAAACAGACAGCGGGCGACTTCATTTTGTAATGTGAGGTTATTAATGTGATTTATTTTAAATATTCGTTATTACACCTGTAATCATGTACTGAATTGTGGAAAAACTATTCGTTCTTAAAGCCTCGAGTCTGATTGACACATCGTATTCAACTACTCCGGTAGATAAAAAAGTATCCTGAATAAATTAAAATGCATTTTGATAAAAGCTCAACCAAAACCTTCGCAGTTTTGATATACCTAATTTCCGTGAAGCATACTAATATTAGTTTACAAACAACTATTAGAGTGGCTTTTAGGAAAATCGAAGTATAATCGGATTATACGGTGGTGAGTACCAAATTCCCAACATTGAGAAGACTACAGAAATCTAGAGCTGCTAAGCCGGTAAGCCATTGTAATCGGTTAGTCTGGGAAATCAAATGCTTGAGACGAGTATTCTACTAGATTAAAAACTAAACCGAGTATCGCCTTAATACAAGTGACTTGTTTTCCTACGTTTAATGAAAAATTTGGAATCTCTTATTAGAAACAAAGCCGCACTTCAGTCTTGCAATGATAGGCATATGTGGTACAATTAACGTGTAGGAAAAATATTTAATAAACGAACAATAAATGTTATTCTAAAAAACGTTCTCTTTGCAGAAAATAATTTGATTAACATTCTAAAACGTCAGAGCACTCTGCGAGCAATTGAACAATATTTTTCTATATGTTTGACAATGCTCCAGACGAGATTATATCCTGAGCTATATATTGGAACGAGGGCGAAAGAGTACCTCACTTAGACATCAATAGAATAGATCTTTATTGATTTCTATCTTTAAGGTAAAATATTATTGAATATTTTATGTATTTCTGTTAAATTTCTATGAATTTCTTAGGGCGTAATTGATATAGATACAATGAGAATCTCTTACCGATATATTATTTACCTTCAGATCTTTAGTAATGTTCATTCGTTGTTTGAGCTAAAATCTTAGTGGTAGTCGAGTGAATCTATTACTAAAGACATTAATATCTTTACTTATTGTACATTATAAAGGTATGATGGTCGTAGTTGCTTTTTTAATTGACAGAATATAGAAATAATTACGGCGCGTAGCAATTACAAGACAAACATTGGTAAAAAATAAAGAAAATCTGCGTGTAAATTTTAAAAATGTTAACTACTTGTTAGCGGGCTTAAAATTCTGAACTACAAAGATTCGTAATGTCATATTCAAATGACACAAACCAAAGGTTGTACACTGCTGACTTACCGGCATTGCCAGGAATAACCACAGCAACATTTGCAGACGACACCGTTATATTAGCAAGCAATAAAGACCCAAGACTATTATAATGGCTCCAAAAATGGAAAATATAAGATAGTGCCGCGAAGTCAGTACACGTGACCTTCACTCTTAGAAGAGAAGACTGACCACCTGTAAAGATGGACCAATATATTCTGCCCAACAGCTTCCAGTGCCTGACACACGCCGTCGACTTTTTGGGTCTAAGACATGTCGGTTTCCTCACGATGTTTTCCTTCACCGTTCGAGCAATTGTTAAATGCGCACATAAACAGAAAGTCCATTGGTGCACAGCCGGGGATCGAACCTACGACCTCAGGTATGAGAGTCGCACGCTGAAGCCACTAGGCCAACACGGCTCAGCGCAAGTGATACCAACATAAATATACTCTAGCGACAACATAACAAGATCCTAAGAGCAATTTCAAAAGTACCATGGTATATAACCAACGACAAAGTTCACGAACAACTTGAAATGAGAACTATCAAATAGGAAATCCGGAGACTGGCAGCTAAATACAAAGAGCGGTTAATCTGTCAACCGAATGAACGAATATTTCTTTACTGACGAGTCATAACTGTACATTATGTTACCTATATGATTAAATGATTTTTTACTTTACTTTAAACTGGCTCACCAACTCACCATACAAGTATGTACAGTATGTGAGACGACTAAAACGTCACCTTATTCTAGAGCTAGAAGATAGGCAGTAGCTTTAGGCAGAAGATAAGTAGATGCTTTCAATGGGAAGCCACTCCACATGACAGCCCTCATTCGAGCATTCGCTCCTAGCCTTTGGTCTGCTTGCAAATACCCGCAGAAAAAAAACCTTTGATCTGTTATCAAGTAATATTTGTACATTTAATTTGCGTTTTTTTTTCTAAACCATGAAATAACCCTACAATGCCTCCAAAGGCGATTGCATTATAGGAAACTTTGGAATGGACATTTTATATTAGGTTATAACATACATATGAAATTGGCGTTTTGTATGGGAGAAATAAAAAGTGGATTTTATATATAGTATGTATTTGGTTAATCAATGTATGTACCATTGCTATCTATGCACTTTTTCCATCTTATAGGTAGTTCAGACAGTAGAGATAGTAAATAAAATTAAAACGGGCAAATGAAACGAATTGTGGTTTTCGAAAATTAAATGCACGAGTAAATAGCTGTAAAAAAATTAATTTCGAATTCCTAACCAAAGAGGAGATATTTGAGGTCAAAGTGGCCAGTACGACAAAAAGCCAATTTTATACATAATACTATAGGTGTATCTGAGTCACTGATGCATTTCATTGTTTTAAACGTTTCCCAGTTACCTTAGGAAAGGTAGCTCAACGGGAACAGGCTTTACAGTGAAAAACTACTCAAAAGTAAGATGTTTAAAATATTCTATAGGTTTGCAGCTATTGTCATATTCAATCTCCTATACAATATAATTGTTATAATAATAAAACATTTGCAAGCCTTCCACTAGTAGTGGGTCACTTTACATTGTGTTTATATAACACGTCAATATTATAACTGTAACAAAAGTTAGGCTGGTTGTTAAGCGATACTCAACCTTCAAATTACGGGACTTCATATTCCAACTGTGTTTTGTATAAATATAAATTTGGTTCCTAAGTTACGATAATAGCATTTCCTTGAATTATATTAGTCTTATAAAAATCTAATAAATATTTTTTTTTGCTGCATATGTAAATAAATGATAAACTTCGTTGAAAATTTATAGCTCAATTATGCCCAGATTTAATAACGAGTAATTGGAAAACAAATAAAATGTTACAATTGATTGTTTGCGGAAATTAAAGACTGTAATTCACTTAGTTTGTTCAATCAACATTCAATGAGAGAATGAATATTTTTATTTCAAAGGTCTGGTACTATCAGAACGTACTGCAGATTTATACAATAGTTTGGTTTGGGCATTTTACTTTACACTTGAAATTTTTAAATACATTACTAATCTTGTAAATACGAGGAATCTTACTTACTATTATAAGTATACCTTGCTTTACAGCTAAGAAAATGTAATGCTTCCTAAATACTATATACTATATGTATGTCGGCAATGGCCTGCGAATTACAATCCTAGGTATATTTTTTATTTGATACTTAAAAACTAAGACTTACTTGATTTTGGGTAAGATGCCAGCGTCACGTTATAATAATAGCAATAGATTGCAAACGCTATTGCCAAGAATGAGATGATCAAGAAACGGGTGGAGAATGGACGACAGCGAAGCCACCGTGTGGACCTCATGTTCTATAAAGAAATGTTTAATGATTAATTACTTAAATAATAATATAATTGTCTACGTAAGGTAATGAAATAAAAATAATTTAACTATTTATATATTCACGCCTTCTTCCGAAGAGAGAGGACGGATACGTTTGTAAGAGACTACGGATCTCCACTTGCTTCAGTCCTGACCTACCTCACTAGCTTCATCCATTTTCATGACATTCTTACTTCCTACTTATTACAATGCGTAGGGATTGATTTGCATCAAAATGTATACGAAATATGGTTCAAATACTTCTTACACTACCATCAATATTTTTGAGTAAGTTATGGCCAGACGTTGTCACATTGTCAATCTTAAATTACAAATGCTTTGTATTTTTGTGCTATTTTAGTAATTAAGATTAATAACATATTATATTTAATAATATTTTATATTTTAACAGCCCATAAATTAGTTTTTTCTTGTTTTAGTTATTTTCTTAAACACATATATGGACTTTCACAAATAACAAGTTTGGAAACTGTTCTACATACAATTGTTAAAAAACCCCCTTTAGTATTGCCTATTTCTATTATAAAATTAAATAATATGTATTAGAAAAAAAATTCTTAACTATAAAAACTAAGCCATACTACAGTGTTTTTAAAAAAATACTAAATTTTTTGTCACATTTTTATATTTTTTTTATAATGAGGCATGCCACATTAAGAGAATATAAGAACACACAATTATGCATGAAAATAGTAAATATGGTCATGGATTACAATCAGTTGGTTTTTACTATTCTGGTAATTTTTAAATTAAAATAAAAATTAATTATTTTAATTCACCAACAATGATTTCAAGTTCATATGACTTATTAAAATATAAACTAGTATAACAAAATTTTTAAGGGCCTCCTTAAATAATCAACTACACAGTAAATATTAAGACAGGAAGTGGAATATTCCAGTTGTATATATTAAATAAATAATGTCCTTTAAATTATTATAAATAGAAGATAAAGAGGAAACAATATTAAATAATAGTAATATATATGAACAATTGACTACTAACTACATGCTAACACCAACACTTATTTTTTCTGTTTTGTTATTCTGTTACATTTCTATAAGTGTTTTAGCATATACTAGTTCAATAAAATAAATTGCCCTATTTCAAAAATAAAATAAAACCTAATAGAAAATTTATTTTAACTTGCAATAGTACACTAAATTATAATAGAATAATTCAAAACATTTAAATAAATTAAGCAATTCGAAGTATTCAAACAAATAAAAACCTCTATGTTATACCTATATGTTATAAATAATTAATAACCAATATAAAAATGAGTAAACAAAAGACAGTAGAGGTAGTAAAAAATACTAAAACTTATGATTAAGAATAAGAAAAACTTGCATAGCATTTTCGCAAGGCAAACAATGCCAAAAAGCTTCAATCTTACTCGCAAAACCACTATTAAATAAAAACAAGTCGCGTATAAAAATTAAACCGCATCATCTATAAATTAGTCTTTCCGTAACTTGTAAACAGCGAAGATTCACAGTGTCATAAAGAATACTGTCTACTTACATTTAAATTTATTTGCTATTTTTAAAATTCAGCACATTCGGTCATCGTTATGTAGATTTTCAAACAAATTGTGGCAGTGTTCAATTATAATACTCTCGTAAATAATTAAATATTTCTTTACCGCAAGGCAATTACAGACAAGCGATGTAGTACGCTGTCGCTGAACAATACCGATATCTTACGATTTACGAGTCGATGTCATCAAATAGCCCGAAAGCTGAAATTTCATGATTTGCTTTGAGCTGTCAGTTGTCACCATCGAGTAAAGATATACTCTGTGCACAGTTGTATATATATATATATATATATATATATTTCTCGAGAGTGTTCAATTTGATATCAGTCTATATATATATAAAATCGTATTTTTCGTATATTAAGTATGGGTAGATAATATTAAATACAAATGAAACTGGATCATCCAAAGTTATAATAGAGGTAAGTATCATCTGCCGAGCAGCTGTCAGTGTCAATGTATAAAGATTGTCATTTGAGAATGACAAATAAATATTATAATTATATCGAATAATTTAGTAAAAAGTTTAAAAGCAAAACTTAAAAACAAAATTTTTTATATAAAATATGCAATAGCTCGCAAGCATACTTTTAATTGCATCAAGTATGATAATTGGTCAGTCTAATAAGAACTTACTATATTTACCTTATAACATCCTATATGTTATAATTGTTGGTTTTACATAGATATCAAACATTTTATGAACATCTGTTCTGAAAATATCATTCGCAAATAAACAAATTTAGCTAAACTGTTAGTATCTTTATATTAACCTGTAATGTACATAACATTACAAGTCATCAAAAAATATGTGTAAAGAATGTTAAATAATTATTAATCTTAGACATCAATAATATGTTTGTATTTGGATCTATGTTTTATGTAAATTTGCAGATAAATTGGTAATATGACTTTTTTTTTATTCAGTCAGTAAAGAAGTTTTATTACTGAATTAGAGATAAATAATAAGAAGAAGATATAAGAAATGATAATTTAATTAGCCTTGAAAAGTGTAGTTAGCATTTAAGCGAGCAGTAATAAACCTGATTCCCTCTGGTCTGCAATATTCTGGGTACTGTTTACTAGTCAACAAATACAATAATTAAGCAGGTTACATTTAATTATTAATTTCTGTTTAAATAAATCTGGCTATTGCATCACAGAAACCATCCAGTGCAAGCCGACTCAGCCTTGTGGGGTATATCCAGATATTTACTTGTACTTTATAAATACCTTCTGAATATACCTTATTGAGTAAAAAAATTTTTATATAAATAAAAGACTAGGGAATATATAAAATTGTTTGATTGTCGAAGCAATAGAAGAATTATGTTAACAATATTGAAAATCTACTATGGGCGATACAACCAACAGACATTACATATATATGTAATTTCATTGGATTTAGTAAATAACAGTTAAAAGTAGAAATAATATATTAACATGGTCACAGTATTTTTTTGTATTATGAGATCTAAGGGTTTTGGATAAACATTTTTGTTTTTTTAAATACATGTTTTTTTTAAGTTCTTGTACTTTATGACATATTATTTCAATTTTTTATAGTTTATAATACTTTTTACATATTTTTCTTATCCCTTAAAATAAAGATGAAATAAAAATCACAATTTCTGTAATCTGTAGTTTCTTTCTTAAATATATTTCGATTCTGTGGGGTTTTTTTATCCAGTATTGGCAGAATATAAATTTAAAAAGTAGAGGTTTAAGCCTCAGACCTCAGTATGTCCAGTAACAAAATGAAAATTTGTGTCGACAAATATTCTTACAAATTTAGATTTCCACTTTCTACATACACTACGTTAAGACATCTTGACTAAGGCCCCCAGTGAAATGTTGCCTATGAATTTTTCTAATAACCGTACATAACTAGTATTTATAATCTACTATAATATGTTCTTTGTATTGCACTTTACAGTAAAGTTATTAAGAAGAATTAAGTTAATTCATAAATCTTCAGTGCCATTATAAAAATTAACGAAATGTGTCAAATAAAAAGAAACAAAAGTTATTTTTAATCTTTGTGATCATAAAAGTAATCGCAAAATCTTTTCAGTTATATACTGCTCAAAACAATTACGGGAACAAAACTTTAAAGTAGAACTAAACTTTTTACTAAAGGTTTTAATTATTACTGGCCACTAGATAATGTTAAGGCATTGTCGAAGAAAATAAAAAACAAAGCATCGGCGTTTTGGTTAGTAGTCCTATAATAAAGTGGCAGTGTGTCTAGAAACACCTAAAAACAAAGTGACGTCTTTGAATTTTCATTACTTTCTAATCACAGAAAACACATTTTAAGTAGTTTTTTTTCAATCTTTTGAGTATTAATAGAAATTGAAGTGAGCCTTTTGAGTATTGTTATTCATTGAAGCGAGTGAGTTTAGGTCATAAGCCAGATCTGACTGAATTGCATGTCTCCCGAGCTATCGCTTTGCTTGAAGAGGGTCGAACTATGCGTTATGTAGGAAATGATCCTTCTGTTATCTACAGACTTTGGAAGCGATACCGTGAGACGGGAGAATACTCACGAAGGCGTGGTCATGGTCGAAAGAGAAAAACTACACGTTTGCAAGATCGCTACATCGTCAACTGTGCTTTACGTAACCGCACCACAACTGCAAGAGATCTACAAAATACACTAAGGACGGCTACTGGTGTAGAAATTTCCGACCAGACGGTAAGAAATAGGTTGTTGGAAGCCAATTTGAGATCACGCCGACCAGTTCGGGCTGTGCGTCTAACAATTCAACATAGACAAGCTCGCCGACAGTTCGCGCAAAATCACGCTAATTGGCAACTTCGACATTGGAGGCCAGTGCTTTTTACTGACGAATCACGATTCCGTCTAACACGTTGCGATGGTCGTCTCCGTGTTTACAGACGCCCAGGCGAGCGATACAGTGCAGCAGCAGTCAGTCAGTCAGTGATGGTTTGGGGCGGAGTTAGTTTGGACGAGCGCACAGATCTCGTCGTTGTTCCCGGGCGCTTGTGTGCTCAAACTTACATTGAAAATGTGCTCGAAGATCATGTTTGGCCCGCAGCATATGGTATGGGCCCAGATTTTCTTTTAATGCAAGATAATGCCAGGCCGCATACTGCAGCCATCACGTCAGATTACTTACGACAGCAGGAAATCCGTGTAATGGAGTGGCCTTCCATGAGCCCTGACCTAAATCCAATTGAACACATTTGGGACTTGCTTGACAGGCGCATCCGGAAGCGTCCGATTGCACCTCAAACACTGCAGCAGCTCACTAAAGCGTTGATTGTAGAATGGGAGCGAATTCCACAAGAAGATATTCGGAGGATCATACGAAGCATGCCGCGTCGTTGTCAAGCCGTGATTAGGGCTCATGGAGGCCACACACGTTACTGAAAGTCACTAAAGACGAATATTCAAACGGTATAAGAATATTTCTTTGATGGACCTTTTTTATCACCAATTAGTTTTTCGTCTACAATGCACATTTTAATTTTTTTTAAATAAAAAAAAATACAAATTGATTTTTTTTATTAATTGTAGTAATTAACAAATTAACAAGGTAAAAAATAGCGTACAAGTTAATTTAAATCTAATTTTAGTTTAAGCAATAGAAAGGAGAAAAATCTTGTTCCGCTAATTGTTTTGAGCAGTATATATAATTTCGATTAAGTTCTAGTACCGCTATATTTGTTATGGTAATTCGGAATTACGATATCTACTAGGCATATAACTTCATTAGTTTATCCATTAGTAACATACCTAACGAAATCCTCAAGCTTTGCTCTTAGGTATAAATACAAATACAAAATAAATTATACAATAAATACTTATAAGTATACAGTGCTGTATTTTATTAGTGCGCCTCTTCCTGCCTCCTGCGTTCAGACTTTTCAGAATTCAGTCTTTGTCGTTATTTTGCAACTAGTAACTAGTTGAACCAGTCGTATACCAGCGCCCGGAAGGCGCGGTTGTATTTTATAATACGCGAGTACAATAATTGAATTTTATTATGAAATACAACGAACTTGGTGCCACTGGGATAAAAGTGTCACACGTAAGCTGTGGAGGAGCGGCATTCAGCAATATTTATGGGTACGAAATAATAATTTACTCTTTGTTATCAGTATATACCTACGCTATCTGCTTGATAAACTTGTTGTATTTTTAGTCGCCTAGCGGCTACAAACTAATGAATAATAATTTAGATCTCCTATTAAAAGTTCTATACTTTTTTGGTTTCTTATTTCCTTCTTATTTACAGAATACAGTCTAACGTTTTTATCGTAGTGTCATAGTAATTTTCCGACTAATATAGCTACCATATTATTGTTAATTTAGCTTTTTTATACTAATTTACTTTAGTTGTTTCTTTTTTCTTCTTTTAAATAATGACCTTTTATATGATCGTTAGCTTAGAAATATAACAAAATGTCAAATATCTAGTGTTTATCAAACTGAGAAATTTTTATTTGTAGAGTAAAAAGTTTAACATTTTGCGCTGAATGAGATCTATGACAAGGACGTACTTAAGCAGTTTTAAGTTCGCAATATCGTATTGTTCAAGGACATAATATCCAATAAAAATATATAGGTATAAATGAAACAATGGGTCTCTTTTTTGTTGATAAGCAAATAAACGTGACTAGCATTACCGTTCCCGTCCCGGCAAATTAATAAATAAAAAAGCAGTGGCGGTACAAGTAGCGGCACGAAACTCTAGCGCTGACCGTTATTGCGCAGAAGTAAAAAATAAGGAACCTGAGGGGGGCTAGCGGGCGCGCTCCTGGGCCCTGGCTCTCCAGTCGCATTCCGTCCCCCGCGCGACAGTACACATGCGCAGCAATCCCCTCCACGTATCGGCCAGCGCTAGACTTAGGTGCCGCTGCCTATACATTCCTTGGTTTATAGATTTCTGTTTTTTTTTTGATTGTTTTATGACAAGGTCCTGGTTTCCTGACGATGTTTTCCTTAAGAACGAACGTACGACTCTAGGGTTGACGCCTAACCTTTAGCCTCTCATGTTAGTTAAATAATACAAAATACTCACCAACAAACACAGTCTATACGAGTGATGCTACTTAATAATTAGCTAAACGTCCTGAATACAATATATTTATTACTGTCCACCTAAACCCGTATTTTAATAACAGACTACTGTTATCTAATCCGCAATAGGTACTAATATTGATACAGTTAAATCTTTAGCTCTTGGCTATATATTAAAGATTATCCTGTAGGAATTATCTAATAGGTATAGTTTTACTTACGCTATAATATTGAAAATACAAGAATGCTATCTATTTGTTCTAAGGTACGATATAGTAATATATAGACTAATAGAATCTAACCATTATCTAATAATAAGTTCACGAACCATTATATATGTTTTGACTCCCGCTATTATAACATTAGACACAGCCAAATCGTTAGTTCACTCTCTGTATAGTTATAAAATACCTACTAAATAGTAGACTAAAATAAGACTTAAACACGGCATTAGGCAAGTGCAGTATTTTGTACAGAACAGTAGGATGATTGGTGACTTCCAACATGTTTTTTTAAAGAATAAGGGGCAAACGCGCCAGAGGCTCATCTGATGCTAAGTGAAGTTAGGCGTCCTGTACCTTAGGCACTAAGCAATGGAGATGGCTATGATATCAGCATACTGTTATTGAAGACGGTCTACCGCTATTAAATTCCAAATAAACTGAATTAATATCTAGACGGTTTTATTGTAGAGTTTTCGATGAACAAAAATCCGTAGATCTTATTCAAGAAACTTTGAAGCGGGGAATAAATTATATAGAGACCGGTCCCTGGTATGGACAAGGAAGTTCAGAACGAACTATTGGAAAGGTACAGTAACTTTTATGAACGGATGAGAACGTTCAGAAAATATTTAATAATTTTCGATTTTGCTTGTCTCATACCCTTTAACGAATTTTTGTATTGATTATTCATTTACAGGCCCTTAAAGGAATACCAAGAGATTCCTATTACATTGGCAGTAAAGTTGGAAGATATGAGAAAGAAACCGCAAAGATGTTCGACTTTTCAGCCGAAAAAACCGAAGTAGGCTTGAATAACACGCTCGATCTTCTCGGCTTAGATTACGTTGATTTGATTCAGGTCAGTGTCAAGGTCTTATCTATGCTGATAAAACCCTGAAGATGCTAAACGTGTTCTTCTAGAGTTCAAACGCAAGTGGTTTAAACACATACTCATTTATGCAGATTTAATTTTATTATAAATATTTTTTTTATTCTTGATGTTTATATAGTTATTTAAAGCTACATTTACTTGAGACTGCTGATTGCGGTGCGCTATTTTTATTTTACCTCCAAAACATTGTTCAAATGCATTAATTGTAGAGCATAAAGAGTATAATATTGATTTTGACAGGTCCATGACGTAACATTTGCTCCAGATATGTCGGTCGTCTTGAAAGAAACTTTACCCACTCTTGAGCGTGCTGTGAGGGACGGTAAAGCACGTTACATTGGCATTGCTGACTATGACATAGACGTTATGCAAGAACTTGTCGAAGAATCAGAGGTCAAAATATCGTCAATATTATCTTACGCAAAATCAACACTCTTCGATAATCGATTACAGAACTACACAAAATATTTCAAGGTAATAATAACTATTTTGTTACTTTAGTAGACAGGATAAAATGTAATCATCACAAGACACTAGTGATAAAAGTTTTCCTTCCTACTCTCAATGCGAGAGTGCGTACCAGATGCATTTTAGTTTAAGTCTCCTAATTTCTTATAACATCAAACCAATTAAAACAAATATTTCCAAGTATTTAGATTGACGTTGATAAAGATATTATTAAAACAAGATCCCACTTCGACACTCTTACGTAGGTCAAAGTTTAGGGACTATGGAATACTAAATACTGACGTAATATATGCGTCACTTGATACTCTATAAAACAAATCAATTATTATTTGATGAGAATAAAATTGTAAAATGATACACGGTGGATACTAAAGACGTTCATCAAATTACTATCACAAACTCGGATGACTGTTTACCATGAGCATCATCAATATTTAATAACATTTTATTTACTTACATTAAGAAATTTAACGATAAAATTGTAATTATTTTGATGTATTTTTATGTTAAAAACGGTTGGCCCTAGCATGAATAATTTACCATCAACCAACACAATTAAAACTACAACGTTATTCCAAGACCTCGTGAAGGACTGTAACTGAGGCCGGCTAACCCAACTAAATATCAATCACCCAAATAAGAATCAATCCTCTCACATGGCGGGTCTTATTTGACCATTTATATATCAGAGACCATAGATTGCGTGCAAAGTTGGTTGCAGAAATCCCTTTACGCTTTCCCGTATTTATAGCGGAGTACCTACCTGCGAAATGAATCCTATTGAGGGAGTGCGTTGATAAATTGAACCAACCATTAATTGTACATTGTAGGATAAAGGAATTGGTATTATTAACGCTGCAGCCACCGGCATGGGGCTTCTAACAAATAAAGGTCCCGAACCATGGCATCCCGCTAGCGATGACATTAGAGCAGTCTGTAAATGCGCATCGGAATATTGTAAGGTAAACAACGTTCACCTGTTTTTAAAGGAAGGCTAAGTGAACACACCTGAAACATTTTTTTATATATCTTTACTATTTTTATACCTATATTACGAGCTATCTGAAGATGCTTAGCAAAGCTCAACTCTCATAACATTAAAATTTAAGTTAAATCATTGTCGTCATTGTTAACGACTACCTACGAGTAGGTACCTATCATGCCATCTGACATCAAACATCTGGCATCAATAAGAAGTTCAAACTTAGTTTTAAATTATGTTTTACAGAAGTACAATGTAGAGCTGGCACGAATAGCGACATGGTTTACTCTTAACCAACCAGGTATAGATACAAACATCTGTGGATTTTGGAACATTGAACAAATGAGTGACACCGTCGATGTCATGGAAAAGGGTCTGACAGACTTAGAAGAGAGAATATTGAATGAAGTACAGACCAGGTAAACCGTATATATTTTAACACTAAAGGGCTTGAATGAAAACTGTAGAAAACTTATGTCGTCGTCGGACGGATTGACGTCGAGGCGTAATGCAAAATTCCATTCTTTCTCCACCTGGCATACCACAATAAATAAAATAAATCAGTGGCGCTACAACCTCTTAAGGTCTGGGCTTCAGATTTATGAATCTGTTTCATGATAATTTTTCAATCTAATTGGCGAGTAGATGATCAGCCTCGTGCTTGACATACGCCGTCGACTTTTTGGGTCTAAAATGTTTAAAGTTTCCTCACGATGTTTCCCTTCACCGTTTGCGAATGTTAAATACGCACAGCCGGGAATCGAACTTACGACCTCAGGGATGAGAGTCGCTCGCTGAAGCCACTAGGCTAACACTGGTATACCACAACACAGCGCTTTTAAGGCCCACCTTCTGCCGCGCACCATATCTTTGAGCAACCTGAAAGGTCGGTAACACACCCGATAGCCCCTGGCATTACAGGTGAACATGGGCGGCAGCTGCTCGTCTACCTCCTGTCCCATAAAAAAACCTTTCTCTGTTAATTTGTCACTACCTGAAAAATGTATATTAATAAATGCAATTCTTTAAATACAACCACTTTTCGTCTTAGAGGTAAAAATATAATATTCAGTTGTAGCTTGAACCACTTTCAGATTACGTTCCTTCACCGTGTCCATGACCGTGTTAGACAAAATGATGTTCTTGAGAACGCGGAAAATACGGTCACTAAATTAGCTTTTATTTTTTATTTAATTATACACTGTTAATATATTGCTATAAGCCCTGGCCTGGCGGGAGACGCCCACCAGACCTGAGTAGTTTAAGTACCTTTTTAGAAAAGGGAAGATTTGACATTCCCCTGGTGTTTAGGTTCTCCACCACATTTCTGCCTGATAGGCTATTAGGGGTCAAATAGAAAAAAAATACGTTGCCATGGGTATCGCAGTCCGGCACGACCTATCTGTTGGAACATAGCTAGTACATATATATATATATAGGCTAGAAAGCATGTGTATGCTTGTACATGTAGGGTAGCCTAAATTGATAACCACAAGCCAAAAAAAATATGATTTTACCAATTCTCTCCGGCCAAAATGTACATGGCAATTTCAACAGACCATATTTTTAATTGTCCAAAGACATGCTTGCATGTAATATTGGAATTATTTTTCAGATTCTTTGACAAGATCACACTCCACTGGGATCACGTCGAATTACCAGTCTATAAAGAAAAATTGAATCAAATATATAAGAATTAAATTATATGCTTCTAGTCTATAATCATTGTCTATGAAAATAAAACAAAAAAATACATCAACATTATTTTATTTTGGTATAACATTTATACTGTTAACTTTATTGACGGCTGAGTATATTATGCTAATTTTTCTTTATATTAAAAATAAATTAAAACCCATCCTATTAAATAACACAATCCGCTACTAGGATAAAACAATGCACGACCAAATATCAACTATATTAAACAATAAAATATTTTGTGTTTACACAACATTAAGTATAAAATCGAATTAATGTGTTCGGGAATGTAAAATAACTAGCACATATTAAATTTGTTACCACAATCACAACAAAAGTTGTTCTTTAATTATATAGAGAACTAACCCTAAAACTTTATATACTAATCATCCAGAAGCTTCTCAACCCTATATTGGTGTTAGCCTTATATTGCATCTGTTCCAAAATCATATCTTTTATAAACAAGTAGGTGATCAGCCCTTGATCATATTGTCATCGTTTAAGACAAGTGTAGGTGCAAGCACCTAGAATGAATTTCCGAACGTTCAGAACACTTACGAATAAACGAATCCACTACTAAGCCACACAGTATATCTATACCAAGTCTATAACTTCACTAATTTGCATGCATTGAGATTCAAACAAAAGTTTTGAATTACTACTTGACTAAAGCAATATTTAATAATGTCTTCTTAATGTCTAATTGAGATTTTATATTGCGAATAATTATTGAACGCACGTAAACGATACATATACACAAAAACATAAAGTTAAAAACAATTTTAGCATTTTTCAAACATTTTTGAGATTCAAAAAGATTCTTGCTAGGAATTAATACATTTGACAACATTTTAATAAAATAAATCGATATATGCAAGTATATATACATATATTGCACTTAATATCTTCAAGTATTTTAACAACAACGAGGACTAGAGAGAGTGTTTAAGCCTAATTATTATTCATCACGTTATTTTGTAACGATAACGCTATCACTGATAACTATGAACTGGGGCTTGAGACAAAATCAGTTTTCGACAGTCGTGACCCACTAAAGCTCCTGAACACGAGAGTCGTATGGCAGCATCACACTTATCTCAATTCTATAATGTAATAATACAAATTTGATAGGCTCGGTAAAAATGAAATAACATGACAATCACTATGGTACATTTTACATACACGGACTTAAAAATAACCAGTGGCGCTACAACCTTGTTGGTCCGGACATCACTTGTATCTGTTAAGTGATTTGCTTTTAATAGATCAGTATTCTGCGTCTGATGCACCGTCGACTTTTTGAGTCTGCACCATGCCGTTTTTGTCATTAATTTTTCCTTAACCGTACATGGAAAATCCATTGGTGAAGCTGAAGACCGAACCTACGATCTCAGTGATAAGAGTTGCACGCTAAAGCCACTAGGCCATCACTACTAACTTTTTACTCTGCAGTTATAATTAAGTGTATAAAAATGTCATTCGTACCTAGTCTGTCCTAACCCTGTATAGCACAAGGTTAGCATGCATTTTAGGCTGCATCAAGTGATAACATAACATTATGGTAGATTTTTCCTCCATTTGTAAGATTTTATTAGGGCTAATATTATTTAAGTATCCTTAGGACGTATAATTTATTGCCTATCTAGTATTGTGCCTCTAGTATTTTCTTAATGTAATAAAAATCATCATACCTTTAATAATATAAAATGCACTGCATATTATTTTAATTAAATATTTTTTAGAAATACTCTGAACGAGATCTCTGTATGTGTGTGTGTTTATTTAAATAAAAATCCATAGCATTTATTAGGTATATATGCTATGGATTTATATTTAAATCCGCCGTAAAAAAACATAGTTCCTCATATTTTACTATGACGAGATTCGTATGAGAACATTATAAAACAGACTATAATATATTCATTTCAAAATACGAGTCGGTGATAAGTTACTACCATAGACATTCTACTGTCAGTGCGCACTCAATATAAGTGCCGACAGTTGTCAAACGGAAACTACTAAAACATAACAAAAATAAACATGCCTTAAGCATTAAAAACGACACACAAAACAGCACAACATCACTAAGAAGTATTATAATAATTTACTTAAACATGTAAAACACAAAACAAAGAAACTCCCGAATTACATTTTTTACAACTACATCTCTCATCTCAATACAGGCCTGTTGAGATTCTAGGTCTCTAATTGCCTAACATTACACATATTTCCAAACCACTAAAAAATTTTGTCACTTATTAAGTGGCCCGAAACTGAGCACAGTCAAGAGCTATATGAGGATTGTTAGATAACGGGTTAACTCTAAAACAATATTCTTCACATAGTATATATCTGTATGTGTGACTACGGCAAAACAGCGTAAACTTTAATAGTTAAATATCAGAATAATCTACATTATAATAAAGCAAGGAACTTTTTTTTATACAGACATAAGACAATCTATAGTTTAGCCAGTAAATTAGTGTAAATCAGCTACAGTCTCATAGGACTTCCTATTTCTTGTTATGTAAGGCTTAGTGCCATTGATATTACTTATGCTTGCCATACCTAGCCTACTAGTTTCTTTAAGAAGATTAACAAAATATTTATAAGCAGTAACATCCTCTAACTTCTTAATATCAACACGTAATGTTGGCTTTTTATATTTAACTGTCTTTGTATGCCAGACAAGTACTTTCGAGCAATTAGCAGCAAGAGGTTCAATGTCTTCCAATTTTAATCCTAAACTAACCAAAAATCTGTCCTCTTCATGGCCGGCAATGTATGGCATGTTAGCAGAGGGCTTTAGAAACTCAATGTTCACAGCAAACCCAGCCATATCTACTGCAAACATTCTTGAACCAGGCCATGAATCAAAAAACCCCACCACCTGAAACATTAAGTGGAGAGGTTTATTTTTGTTTGATTTAATAATACTTTTTTTTAAATATACCAAGACAAAAAATAGGAATGTTCTAAACAACACTTAAAATGATTACTATAAATTTATCTAATATTACTATAGAATGATGCTCTATTTATTCATAATCAGGCTATATATTATATTATTATCTTCAAATTGCTATTCAATCTTTTGTTGGTATCATTTCATGTCTCTTTAATAGTTTGAAATAATATTATCAAACTAGCTGACCGGGCAAACGCCGTTTTGCCATGTATTTTTTATTATACATGATGTATAATAAAAAAATAGGGGTTGATCGTAGAGGGGTGAAAATTAGGGGTTGTATGTATTTTTTTAATGCTGTATCATAAAAAAATAAAAACAGAAAAAAATATCTAAAAATAAAAAAAAAATATTTAGGGGTGGACTACCCTTAACATTTAGGGGATGAAAAATAGATGTTGTCCGATTCTCAGACATACCCAATATGCACACAAAATTTCATGAGAATCGGTCGAGCCGTTTTGGAGGAGTATGGCAACGAAAACTGTGACACGAGAATTTTATATATTAGATAATTGTATTAATACATATTTATTATTCTATTTCTACCTTTCCATCCTTGACAACGGGTGAAGAAACACCATAATCTCCTATAAGGCCTACAGGAAACATTGACACTTTTTTAGTAAGTCTGATTTCACCAAATAATTGCAAATCAATAGTATTATCATCATCTCCAAAGTAAAGAACTCCATCATCAGCATTTTCTTGAAGCCAGGAGAGTGCTGCTCGACGATTTGCAACTCCACGAGGGAAGTTTGTTCCTTTATATATGTATGGCTTTGGACTAGATATGTGTGTGTATGGCAGGCCAGTACGTCTAGAATTAAGAATTTTATATTGTTTAGACTATGTTCAGATGTCAGCCACTCAACAGTCTGTATGCAAAATGCTATACTTTAAGTGTAAAACAGAAGAAGAGATTGTATATTTCATAAAGTTAAAGAATAGATTGTATGCTTTATATATTCATGCACAAAAGCATCTAAGACAGAGTAAAAGCCACCAACAGTCCAGATGTCTGTATCTGTTTTTAAAACTGTGTACACTCACCTAAGAATATCAGCAACATCTTTTGAACATAATGATTGGTCATCTGCTACTATCCAATGAATTTTTGGTACATGCATCAAGGTATGAGCAAGTCTTGTCAACTCTGGCACTTGTTCTGGTCTCGGGTAAGTTGGTGTTACATAGTATATCATCTTTAAATCTGAACTATTATTTACAAACACTCTTTCATCAATGTTATTCACATGACATAATTTATTTTTAACAGTTATTGGAATACTTCTAGGATCCATTGATGCATATCTAAAATCATAATATAGTTTTTAAATTTCATTATGTAACTTGCATTCAAATCGTGACACAGCACAACATTACTTATGAGATGTTCAATAATAATTTACTTAAACATGTCATGCTTTAAACTCCCAAATTACATATTTTTTTACAACAACATCTGTATAAGATTGAGATTCTGATTAAGATTGATCAATATGTATGCACAACAGACATATTTAGAGTCTAAGTGCGGAAACTGAGTTCACAAACCAAACCAAAAACTAAGAATTTTTTGTGACTTTTATTATGTACCATGAAACTGAGCACATTCAAAAGCTTTTGATTCAGGGTTAGCTTTAAAACAATCTTCTTTCCCTATATATAAATATCCAAAAAATCTACAGTAAAGCAGAGAATTTTTTTTAAATATAGATTGTAGATTAGTCAATAGATTATTGTAAGTCAGCTACAATTGCTTAGGATATCCTAGTTCTTGTTATGTAGGGCTTAGTGCCATTGCTATTACTTATGCATGCCATATACATTATTAAGGCAACTTCAGAAAGGTCAATGTCTAGAACATTTTACTTATTCTATTATAGTCAAGTAACACCTGTTATAATTAAAACTGTTCCAATCAGTTTTGTGAATACCAAAAATTATTAATTACATTTTACACATAGGTAGACAAAACTGTTACAAAGGTTGGTTAATTAGAAAATTATAAAAATTTATAGAGTAAAAAGGTATAACATAAATAATTAATAACTACATTAGTAGGTTGCAAGATTATAATATCCCAGTATTACTTGAAGCACTTGATGACAGTTGTACTTGTAACCTTTGTTAATGTTTACCATTTTCCATTACACTCTTTTAATAAATAATTTATAATTCTATACATCTCTTGTGATTGTAACTTTAATTAAAAATTACCTGATAAACTCCATACTGCTCCATGAAAACATAAGCCACATAACACTTACTATAAAACCCATTACAAAAATATTTTTAAAGACTTTCCAATATCTCATTTTACAGTTATTATAAAGAACATAAAGGATTGAATTTAAGAATGAAATTATTGCAAAGTATAATATGATCATTAAGAACTATCAACATAGTAATATGCTACATCAATTCACCATTTCTTATAAAATAAGAGTAAATAATTATATTTAATTACTCTATATTACAGGCATTAAATCCGAGGGCAAATGCTCTTGGCAAATTCTCTTTTTACATTTTTTTAAATGTACAATTAGGTAAAAATCAAATCACAAGGCATGTCGAATTGGTCAAATAAACCTATTTGAAGAATTCTCTAATATCTATTATAACATTTTTATTTTGTTTCTTGACTGCATTACGCATTTCTTGTATTTAAGGTGCGCAAACACGAGGGCAATAATTGCTCGGCGACACGAATGGACCGATCTGGAGCAATTTCAATAAATTGCAATAAATTATTTCGGCGATATTGCTTCTAATTGCTCTAGATATTTCATATCGCTCAATGTCGCAGATACGAATTGACGAATATCCAATGGACTTGGAAATTCCTAGCAATTTTTGTATATGTCTCATTCGCACTTGTTTGTTTTGCGGCTTGCCGTCTTGCTTCCACGGGGAGAGCGAGAGGTCTAAATAATAATAATTTCTAATTACTTTATTCAAAAGTAATTCAAAGTCTGTTCGTGACATTCTAGTAAAGTTTATAAATGATATATCATCTTTACATAATGAAAATTTTGTCCTCTTTGCCAAAAACGATAGCACCCAGATACGCCTATTCCTTTTCTTTCTTTTTTGTTTTTGATTAATGATAAAAAAGCGCTACAAGCCGCCGCAGCAAGAACAATGTCGTCCATAGCGAGCGAATACTGAAATGCTCGTGTAGGACAGTATTGCCTAGTTGGTGAAGTTGCGCCATATCGCTCAATATTGTATTGCGCAGTATTGATGCTTGTTGCCGTTGCCGTAAATTGCTTGATGTAGTCGTGACGTCATAATTGACGAGTATTGACTGGAATTGAGCAATTTTAGTTGCCCGTGTAAGCGCACCTTTAGTCACTATATATAATATATATGTATATTTGTTTAGTTAACTCAACAATTGACACTTGACACTTATAATAATGGCTTTTACATAGACAACTATTTAATATAATTCCATTATGTACAATATTTTCTTGCATGCAAACATCTAACCACATATTACTTTGTCGAGAACTTCGGCATTTCAAGAATTATTTATTATTAGTTATTACACTAGTAGATAGTAGTGCTTTTTTAAATAATAGCATGTACACAGATAATGTACATTGTTTAATACAGTTTAAATACATTTTAAATAGGTATGAAACATAAAGCGTTATATTAACATACATCTTTATAAAAAATGACTTTAAAAACGTTACGGACTAAAATAATTGTTATCAAAAATCCATAATTAAAACATTGGTTTTTATTCATTGAATGAAATTAAATGAATCGACGATGACGTAGCATGCTTGTAAATAATATGTTATTGCCTGTCTAATTATAAAAAAAATATACTCCGGAATTGTATTAGGAGTACATATTACTCTTTATATAGTCATAGAAATATATATATATATATAGAATCGTAACAAATTGCAGAATTATATTTTATGTAAAAACATTTGTTTACTTGTTTTTGAGCAACCATGTATTTATTTAATTTTAATTGGCTTAATGGTCTCGTTACCAGGCTATAAATTCGTCAAAATAAATTAAAAGCCGAACTCTGTAGAGTCTGGCTAATAATAATCATAATAATAGTCTTTATTTCTTCTCTCACATATACATACAAGGTTATTATGATTTAGGCTAAGTTCAGATGACCGCGCGTAGCCGCGCGTCGCCACGCGGTTGGAGCATTCACATGACGGTATATGTACGCGCGCCAGTGTGGCTTCAACATTGATTGACAATGGACGTGGAGGAGGCAATTTGCTTATGAATTTTATATAGAAGACTGAGACGTCGCAGAAGAAGACAAAGACGAAGAAATTGGATGCACACAGCTTCCAATTTCTTCCAGCCTGTTTGTCACTTTGTATCCCGACTTGAGGTTACACGAAGATATTTTTTTTAACTACATATTTCCGGATGTCAGTTGCATCCTTTAATTTTTTATACGATTCTATTGAAAATGATTTAAAATCCAGTGAAGATGCTATAAGACATTGCATATCACCAAAAGAAAAACTCATTGTAACATTAACAAATCGATAGGCACAATTTCATCTTCGGTACTCATTTTGCATCGATCTATGTGTCTTTCCGTCTCAAGCCGCGCGAATCAACTGAACAGGTCGATACAGGTTTGCAAAACTTGTGCCGCGCGCGGCCGCGTGGATCGCGCGGTTCAAGATGTTGCGCGCGGGTCGGAGCGCGCCGCGCGTTGGCGTGCGGTACCGCGCGGTAATGTAGACGATAATTACTGTTTATATTGATCTTGTACTGCGCGGCCATATGAACTAAGCCTAATGAAAGTTGATACTGAAAAAGCGCGGCAAATTTAAAAAATATCAGCATGGCAGCCCTAAAGTAAAAAGGAAAGTTGGAACAACTCACTTTGATACTTTGACATTCATTTTTATTTTACTAGTGGATGCTTGCAATTTTGTCCGCGTTATGAGGAGATTAAAAGTAGCTTATATCACTTGTTAACTCTTTATTAACTCCATACCAAACATCACAAGGATACGTCACTCCATTGTGGCGTATTAAAGGAACAAACAGGCTATCAAACACTATCATGAGTATCAATATTATCATGAGTTTAAATATTTGTAAATCTATGTGAGTATGTATCAAAGAAAACAACACCATATATTTTTATACTGTTTTTTAATCACTATAATCAAAATCTGAATCTAAAAATTCAACATTGTTTTACTTCAGCAGTTCGTGCATTATCCTCAAGACTATCTGTAAAAGAACAATAAATATATCTAAAGTAACTAAAACTAATATGTACTTATTTAAAATAAAAAAATATCAAGACATTTTGACCGTACTAACCTTAGTGTTGTCATATAAAAAGTTTGTAAAAAAATCCAGTATCTACTTTCGTTAGCCAGACTAATAAATAAACTATGTAACTTACATAAAAATTAAATGATCATATTTCAATGATCGGAATTTTCATTAAATAAGTACGTACCTATTTTTCTTATATAAAATATTTTATAACTAAATATGGTGGATTACTTTATGCTATAGTTTAATAAATATATTTATACATTCGCCATCGAACTTAAAAAGATTTAATTTAACAAATGTTAAAACATCATCCTTCATAAAAGCCAATGTCCAATGTCCATCAGTATTCAATCTTATGATATAAATATAATCAATATTCAATGATGATAAAGTTACAATTAATATTGGCGGACAGTTTCGACATTTAAATTTGCTTTGTATATATTGATGTTTGCTATGCCTCGATCGGATATCAAACGATATAATAATATTTTAATGTTGTAATTCAAAAAGTACCGAATTCGAAATAAAAAATCAATACTAACGGGACATGCGTAAAATGGCTGTTATTTAAGAAATAGTAGGAAGTCGGTGTCGGATCAATATTAAACCTTAAATACGTTTAATTAAAGGCAAAATATAAACACGTTTTTCAGAATTTAACCTAGTAATTTCAAATGTAAAGAAAAATAGGTGAAATTGCGAAATGCAAACTGTCTATTTTATGTTGGCTGTATTGATTTCGATGTCAACAACTTCACAGTGGTGGTGCGTTAGTACCTATTGCGCGTACAGTGTTATTGTTTTGTGGGAAAAACTGTGAATCTTAAATAAATTGCATTTTATTTTGTGAACACTTCTGTTTAATTTAAATATTTGTTCTTTACATTTTATTTTATTGAGTGGAATATGTCATTCTCGGTCGAGGTAAGTCATACAATAAATTCCTACATCAACATCGGCCTAGGGCGGTTCTATTTTACTTACAATTTTAGTATTTCTTTGTGAAACGTGATTTATTTACTTAAAATATGAATAAACCGTAGTTTTAAACATTCGGTAGCTTTGTGGTAAACATCGTTTCATTCTTTTTCTTGTTTGAGAAGTTTTATGAGTATTTCGTATTTATGCATCCTCCATATTTTACTGCTACGTGCATGGTACCAACTACATAAAATGAGTAGCTATAGCTTTCATCTTAAGGTCTTTTTGATGGAAAAGTGAAAAATAAGTAATATTAGCGCAATTTTATAACACATTTGAGCTTTTTCATTACTTTATCGGATAATTCAGTTGAAATTTTGACATTATAAAGCGAAATGTATTTCGTAAATTTTTTGATGCATTGGAACATGGTACCTTTATTCCCTAGAATCAAACATCTTCTTATCACCTATGATAAACTTATTGTAATTAACTTAACTATATTCTCAAGCTGTTGTTTTATGTTATAAAACATATTTTTTATAAATTAGTGTCAGTCTTACATGAAATAAGACTAAAACACTCAGAAACATGTTATAGGTAATATTTATGTACAATTTTTTTAAATAATTTACTTTATCACATTGTTAGAAAAATTAATTTATAAGGTGTCAATCACCATCCATTTCATAAGAAGATGAGGTTAGGGGTTTTGAATTGCAGACATAAAAGATGTTTCAGCTCTGGAGCTTTAGTATGTACTTAGATGATCCAAAAATAGATTTACATTTTGGCCTCTCAGGCCATATAAGCCCTAACTACGTACTTGGGGTATATTAGCCATACAAAAGCCATACATAAATATTATATTATTTCACATATTCATAAATTGAGTATGACTGGTAAAGATAACACTTAAACATACTAAATTTTGTTAACTTAATAATTTTCTTTAAAAACTTATTTCAATGAAAGCTGCAAGATAAATGAATTCCTACAATAATCATTTATCTTGTTTGATTTTATTACTCTATAATATACATTTTAAATAAATACATAAATATTTTCCCAAAATTTAATATGCTACAATTATGCG